TCTCGCTCAGGCTGGTTTTGAACTCCTGACCTTGAGCAATCCGCCCGCCTCAGCCTCCCAGAGTGCTAGGATTACAGGCGTGAGCCACTGCGCCCAGCTCGTTTTAACTCTTATATTTAGGTCTTTGATCCATTTTTAGTTAATTTTTATATGTGGTACAAGGTAGGAATCCAACTTCATTCATTTGCATGTGAATATCTAGTTGTCCCAAAACAGTTTGCTGAAGATGATTCTTTTCCCCCATTTAATTGTTTTGGCACCTTTGTCAAAAATCAGTTGGCCAGCAAGAGAATGAATAGACAAACCACAGATTGGGAGAAAATATTTGCAAAGACTCATCTGATAAAGGACCGTTATTCAAAACACACGGAGAACTTTTAAAACTCAACAATGAGAAGACAAACAACATAATTTAAAAATGAGAATAAATCTGAATAGACACCTCACCAAAGAAAATATGTAGATGGCAAGTGAGCATGTGAAAACCATACGTCATTAGGAAATTGCAAATTATTATAAAACAACAATGCAGCCAGGCTGGTGACGAAAGTCTGTAATCACAGCACTTTGGGAGGTTGAGGTGGGAGGATCACTTGAGGCCAGGAATTTGAGGCCAGGTTGTGCAACATAGTAAGTCCTCCCCTTTAAAAAATAGAAAAAATTAGCTGGGCATGATGGTGCGAGCCTGTAGTCCCAACTACTCAGGGAACTCTTGAGCCCAGGAGTTTAAGGAGGCAGGAGTATCGCTCGAGCCCAGGAGCTTAAGATCAGTCTGGGCAACAAAGGGAGACTCTGTCTCTACAAAAAATAGAAAAATTATTTGGGTGTGGTGGCACATGCCTATAGTAGCACAGGCCGGAAGTAGGAGGAGCACTTGAGCTCATGAGTTTGAGATTGCAGTGAATTATGATGATGCTACTACACTCTAGCCTACAGAGCAAGATCCTTTTTTTTTTTTTTTTTGAGACAGAGTCTCACTCTGTTGCCTGGGCTAGAGTGAGTGCCGTGGCGTCAGCCTAGCTCACAGCAATCTCAAACTCCTGGCTCAAGCAATCCTCTGCCTCAGCCTCCGAGTAGCTGGGACTACAGGCATGCTCCACTATGCCCGGCTAATTTTTTCTCTATATATATTAGTTGGCCAACTAATTTCTTTCTATTTATAGTAGAGATGGGGTCTCACTCTTGCTCAGGATGGTCTCGAACTCCTGACCTCGAGCAATCCTCTCGCCTCGGCCTCCCAGAGTGCTAGGATCACAGGTGTGAGCCACCTCACCTGGCCTCTTTTTTTTTTTTTTTTGAGACAGTCTCACTCTGTCACCCATGCTAGAGTGCTGTGGCATCAGCCTTGCTTACAGCAACGTCAAACTCCTGGACTCAAGCCATCCTTCTGCCTCAGCCTCTGGGACTACAGGCATGTGCCACCATGCCCGGCTAGTATTTTCTAGATATTTTTAGTTGTCTGGCTAATTTCTTTCTATTTGTAGTAGAGACGGGGTCTCGCTCTTGCTCAGGCTGGGCTCGAACTCCTGACCTCCACTTTGGCCTCCCAGAGTGCTAGGATTACGGTGGGGGGGGGAAATGTACAGTACCAAGAGCAGCACTGATGGTGATAATGATGTGTCAATGTAGGTCCATCAATTGTAACAAAGGTACCATTCTGTACTGGATGGCTGGATGTCAGCAGTGAGAAAGGTTATGCGTGTGTGGGGGGCAGTGCGTATATGAGAACTCTCTGTACTATCTGCTCAATATTGCTGTGAACCTAAAACTGCTCTGAAAAATAAAGCCTTTTTTTTTTTTTAAGAGATGGGATCTTGCTCTGTTGCCCAGAATGGAGTGCAGTGGCTATTCACAGGTATAGTCATAGTGCACTGTAGCCTTGAACTCTTGGGCTCAAGTGATTCTCACAACTCAGCCTTCCGAGTAGCTGGACTACAGCTGTGTGCCACTACGCCCAGCTAATAAATTCTATTTTTAAAAAATCAATTGGCCATAAATGTAAGGGTTTATTTCTGGATCTTAATTCTATTCCATTGATCTATACATATTCCTTTATGTCAGTACCAGAGTCTTATTACTATAACTTGTAGTAAGTTTAAAAAATCAGCGTGGCTCATGCCTGTAATCCTAGCACTCCAGGAGACCGAGGCGGGTGGATTGTTCAAGGTCAGGAGTTCGAAACCAGCCTGAGCAAGAGACCCCATCTCTACTAAAAATAGAAAGAAATTAATTGGCCAACTAAAAATATACAGAAAAAATTAGCCGGGCATGGTGGCGCATGCCTGTAGTCCCAGCTACTCAGGAGGCTGAGGCAGGAGGATTGCTTGACTCCAGGAGTTTGAGGTTGCTGTGAGCTAGGCTGACGCCATGGCACTCTAACCCAGGCAACAGAGTTAGACTCTGTCTAAAAAAATAAAATAAAATGAAAATAAAAACATAAACAAATAAAAATCAAGTACTGGGGCTGCGCGGGTGGCTCAGGCCTGTAATCCTAGCACTGTAGGAGGCCGAGGTGGCTGGATCGTTTGAGCTCAGTTCAAAACCAGCCTGAGCAAGAGGGAGATCCCGTCTCTACTAAAAATAGAAGGAAATTAGCCAGACAACTAAAAATATATGTAGAAAATGTAGAAAAAATCAGCCAGGCATGGTGGCGCATGGCTGTAGTCCCAGCTACTCAGGAGGCTGAGGCAGGAGGATCCCTTGAGCCCAGGAGTTTGAGTTTCCATATGAATTTTGAAATCAGTTCAATAAATTTATCAAAACAGGCAGTTGAGATTTTGACAGAAATTACACTGAACCTACAGAACACTTTGGGGAATACTGACATGTTAACAATATAAAGCTTTACAGTCTATGAACATGGGATGTCTTTCCATTTACTTAGGCTGTCTTTAATTCCTTTCAATGAGTTTAGTAGTTTGCACAGTGCACATTTTTTTTTTTTGAGACAGAGTCTCACTTTGTTGCCAGGCTAGAGTGAGTACTGTGGTGTCAGCCTAGCTCACAGCAACCTCAAACTCCTGGGCTCAAGCAATCCTGCTGCCTCAGCCTCCCAAGTAGCTGGGACTACAGGCATGCACCACCATGCCTGGCTAATTTTTTTCTATATATATTAGTTGGCCAATTAATTTCTTTCTATTTATAGTAGAGATGGGGTCTCGGTCTTGCTCAGGTTGGTTTAGAACTCCTGACCTTGAGCGATCCGCCCGACTCGGTCTCCCAGAGTGCTAGGATTACAGGCGTGAGCCACAGCACTGGGCCCACTGTGCACATTTTACATTTCTTTTGTTAAATTTTTTCTAAGTATTTTTAATAAATACGTTTATTCTAAGTATCTTATTCTTTTTGATACTATGTAGGCAGAAAGGCAGAATTATTTTCTTAATTTCATTTTGGGAAAGTTCATTGCTAGTGTATAGATATATAATTGATTTTTCTATATTGATCTTGTATCCTGTATCTTTGCTTAACTTGTTTATTAGTTCTAACAGTTTTTTTCTTCTTGTGAATTTTTTTAGGATTTTCTATACATAAGATCATATCAAGTCAGGTACGCTAACACAAGCCTGTAATTCTAGCACTTTGGGAGGCCTAAGTGAGAGAATATTTGAGGCCAGGAGTTCAAGACCATCAGGGCAATAGCAAGATACTGTCTCTACAAAAAAAAAAAAAAAAAAAATTAACCAGACATGATGGCACACATCTGGAGTGACAGCTGCTCAAGAAGCTGAGACGGGAGGATCGCTTGAGCCCAGCAGTTTCAAGTTGCAGTGAGTTATGATGACGCCATTGCACTCTAGCCCAGCTCTAGACTCTGTCTCAAAAAAAAATTATTATAGATATATGATATTTGTATATCTTTATAGGGTATAGAAAGTTTCCTTTTATTCTTAGTTTGTTGAGTGGTTTTATTTGTCATTGAGATGATCATGTGGTTTTTGTCCTTTATTTTAGTAGTATGGTATATTACAATGATTGATTTTCATATGTTAAATAAACCTTGCATTCCTGGTCTAAATCTCACTTGGTTCTTTTTATACGTTGCTGGATGTGATTTGCTATTACAGCCATCCCTCAGTATACGTAGGAGATTGGTTCCAGGACTCCTGAGTATACCAAAATCTGTGCATTCTCAAGCCCGGAAGTCAACCCTGTGAATCTTGCTCATATGAAAAGCCAGCCCCATATACGCAGGTTTCGCATCCCCAGATAAGTGTAATTTTGATCCACATTTGTTTGAAAAAAATCTGGGTATAAGTGGACTTGCACTGTTCATACCTGTGTCATTCGAGTGGCAAGTATATTTTGTTGAGGAATTCTTCGTCTATATTCATGAGGGATATGGGTGTGTGGTTTCCTTTTTATGTGGTGTCTTTGTTGTGTTTGGTGTCAGGGTAAGCCTGGACTTGTAGAGTGATTTGGAAAGTGTTCCTTTGTGTTGTTTTTTTTATTTTTGTCTTGGTGCTTTATCGTCACTGCACCTTCATGGAGTGCTCTGTGTAACTGCCTGGCTCAAGGAGGCCCCAGCGCATGGCCCAGCCATATCCCAGGAAATGTGCCCTCTGGAAATGTGCAGTTTACTCCATCAGCTACCACTGGCTTTGCATATCTATTATATGTTGGTGCCTACAACAGGGAGTGTGGTGAGAGCTCTTCTCTGGGGTAGATAAAAAGTCAATGCTGGCCGGGCGCGGTGGCTCACGCCTGTAATCCTAGCACTCTGGGAGGCTGAGGCGGGCGGACTGCTCGAGGTCAGGAGTTCAAAACCAGCCTGAGCAAGAGCGAGACCCCATCTCTACTATAAATAGAAAGAAATTAATTGGCCAACTAATATATATAGAAAAAATCAGCCGGACATAGTGGCGCATGCTTGTAGTCCCAGCTACTCGGGAGGCTGAGGCAGCAGGATTGCTTGAGCCCAGGAGTGTGAGGTTGCTGTGAGCTAGGCTGACGCCATGGCACTCACTCTAGCCTGGGCAACAGAGTGAGACTCTGTCTCAAAAAAAAAAAAAAAAAAAAGTCAATGCTCTAAAATGCTGTACACTAACAATAAGGTTGTCAATGGTATGGCCTTGGGGAAGTTCCATGACAAAACTGCCCAAGCCCTATGATCTGAAATGCGTTTTTCTAGATTTTTGCGATGGCATTACAGGACAAGGAACACTCATTTAGTCATGTTTAGACAACATGGGGGCAAGGCAAGGGAGACGTCATCCCCACTGGAAGTGAGAGCCCATGTGAGGAGTTCCTCATGATATCAGCCAAAGACCACAAGGGACCAAGGGGCTGGCCAAGGCAGAATGTTCCAGATGGCACCATCTTGTCTGGGAGTCCACCATCCTGTCATCAGCCCACCAAGCCAGACAGGCTGCAGATGCCCCTAAGGTCCAATTCGATGAGCCACACATGAACCTGCAAACATGTCCAGTGTAAAGTTCTGGAGGAAGCAGATGAATCTTTGGCTTGGGTTGGCTGCATTGTTGTTTTGCTGGGAACAAGTTGACACCCCATCACACCGATGTTCTCACTGTCAAAGAAACGGGAAGAGTAGAAAGACAAGACCCCTTGGCTCCAGGAATCAATGAGCCTGTGGGGGTGGTGGGAGAGCTGTGATGGTCACATGGCAGGAAACCGAGCCTGTCCATGTGTGAGGACCGGTACAGAAGACACAGCACACAATAGCTCTCACAGATGACTACAAGTGGGGAGCTGCTTTGGGGTCCCCCAGGTTTCTCTGGGCTTTCCAGGAGGGGCCTGCAGGAGGGGTTGCCATGGGAGTCTTAGGGGCTCTGGAGCAGCCTCCCGCAGCCATGCAGGTTTCCCTGGGAGGCTGCTTGCCTGCTCGCAGGATATGGTAGCTGGAGGCTCAGAGCAGCCAGAGTGACTTCCGCCAACTCACAGAACACTGCCAAAAGGCTGCACTGTCTTGCTAACCTTGTGAAGGTGACTTGCTGTTTCCCGTGGTAGGAGAGAGATCAGGGATTGCCCAGTGCACATCTCACTGTGCCTGAAGCCACCGCCCTCACAACCCCCTGTGTTGGGGGGCCTGGATGGTTCCCCGCTGGGTGGAGTACACGTGCTGGGGGAGGGATCAAGGAGGGTATCTGCTGCCGTGGGAAGAGGGTGGGCTCTGCACCCCCAGACCCGGACCCTAACCTCACCCAGGTGACCTGGGCTAGTCCCTTAACTGGTGGCCTGAGCTTCCCCATCCGTGAGTGAGTCTCAGTGATAGGCTTCCCTGGAGCCCGTGAGCCCCCAGTCTTGACCGTGCGAGGCGGGAGCGGGGTGGGCTCTCTGGGCGCGCGGGCGAGTGGTGCCACAGCCAGATGGGGCGCCCGGGGGCGGGGGCGGGCCCTGCGCAGGCGTTGCCGGCGGGCGGGGCAGGCGGAGCGCACAGAGCGCTGCGGCGGTGGCGACAGCAGCAGGTGGGTCGCAGCAGGTCCTGCGGTCACAGCTCGGACCAGGGAGCAGGCGAAGGGTTGAGTATCTGGGGCTCGGGGCGTGGCGGAGCTAGCTCCGGCAACGGCGGGGTGTCGGGGCGCGGCAAGGTGCGCGCGGGCCCGGGCCCGGGGCGCCCCTGCATTCCAGCTCTGGGCAGGCGCCCATCGGCCAGCTTGGGGTGGGGGGTGGGCTGGGAGACCGCCTCTGTCTGAGACCAGGTGGCCGCCTGGGCCACGCCCGCCCGGGCGGTGGAACTGCTCTGTTCCGGGTCCTGCTGGCCTGGCCCAGCTCCACGGAAGCCTCGGGTTTCGCCTTGCCGGTGGATCCCAGCCCGCTCAGCTGTGCCCATCTGCTCCCTTGGGCTGCCCTCTGCCCACCCTCAGAGCCACCCAGGCACCCCAGGGGTTCCTCTAGGCTCCCCTTGCTGTCTGGGAGGCAGACAGGCCCTCCATGCATCCCTGTGACCTTCTGCCTACAGGCCCTGCCCCCTGCCCCATCCCAGCCCTCTAACAGGCCCACAGTGCCCGTGCCCACGTGCCGAGGGTGGGGACAGAGAGAGGACTGGCCATGCACAGTCCGGGCGAGATCCAGGGCTAGCCAGGACCCAGCTGGGCAGCCTGTCATTCCCCTCTGGCCCTCACAGGTTCCAGCAGCTGGCTTGGTGCTCCTCTCCGCTGCCTGCCATGGCCCGGGGGCTGCCCAGCGCCGCCAGCCTGGCACGCTTCTGCCAGAAGCTGAACCGCCTGAAGCCACTGGAGGAGTCCGCCATGGAGACGTCCCTGCGGCGCTGCCTGTCCACGCTGGACCTGACCCTGCTGGGCGTTGGCGGCATGGTGGGCTCGGGCCTCTACGTGCTCACAGGCACCGTGGCCAAGACCATGGCCGGCCCTGCCGTGCTCTTGTCCTTCGGCATAGCCGCCGTGGCCTCCCTCCTGGCGGCCCTGTGCTATGCAGAGTTTGGGGCGCGTGTGCCCCGCACAGGCTCTGCCTACCTGTTCACCTACGTGTCCATGGGCGAGCTGTGGGCCTTCCTCATTGGCTGGAACGTGCTCCTCGAATACCTCATTGGCGGCGCCGCTGTGGCCCGAGCCTGGAGCGGCTACCTGGATTCCATCTTCGGGCACAGCATCCGCAACTTCACTCAGGCCCACGTGGGGGTCTGGCAGGTGCCCCTCCTGGGCCACTACCCAGACTTCCTGGCCGCCGGCATCCTCCTTCTGGCCTCTGCCTTTGTCTCCTGCGGAGCTCGCGTCTCCTCCTGGCTCAACCACACCTTCTCCATCATTAGCCTGCTCGTCATCCTCTTCATCATCATCCTGGGCTTCACCCTGGCCCAGCCTGACAACTGGAGCGCCCGCGAGGGGGGCTTTGCGCCCTTCGGCTTCTCTGGGGTCATGGCTGGCACCGCCTCCTGCTTCTTTGCCTTCGTGGGCTTTGACGTCATCGCCGCCTCCAGCGAGGAGGCCCAGAACCCAAGGCGGGCTGTGCCCGTGGCCATCGCCATCGCGCTTAGCCTGGCCGCAAGTGCCTACATCCTGGTCTCCACCGTGCTGACCCTCATGGTGCCCTGGTACAGCCTGGAGCCGGACTCGGCGCTCGCCGACGCCTTCTACCGGCGGGGCTACCGCTGGGCTGGCTTCATCGTGGCCACTGGCTCCATCTGCGGTAAGAGGCCCTTCCGGGCAGGGTGGCAGGGGACAGAGCCTTGCTGGGAGCACACTCCAATCTGTGCCTCAGTTTTGCTCGTTGCATAGTGGGCCCAGGAAACTGCCAATTATTAGGAACTCCCCACCCAGGCTTATTGGGAGGGACGTCCCCCCACATTGTGCATAGCATGCTAGTTCTGGTCATGTGTTGATAGGTTATTTCCTGAGTCGAGGGACTCAGAACTCATCAGATTCTCTGAAGGGCTTGTGACCTAAACTGGAATGTCCCATTCCTGGGGTGGGGGGATGACAACCAATCTAGCACCCCCACACACTCATGCTCACTCTAAGGGCCCAAACTCACACCCAGGTTCCCAAGGGACCACTGCCCTGGCCCCCAGCAGAGGCTTGTCCACTGTGCTGACCATCCCCCTCCCTCTGCTACAGCCATGAACACCGTGCTCCTCAGCAACCTCTTCTCCCTACCACGCATCGTCTATGCCATGGCTGTCGACGGGCTCTTCTTCCAAGTGTTTTCCCAGGTGCATCCCCGGACGCAGGTGCCTGTGATTGGCATCCTGGTGTTCGGGACCCTCATGGCTCTCCTGGCACTGCTGCTGGACCTTGAGGCGCTGGTCCAGTTCCTGTCCATTGGCACGCTGCTGGCCTACACCTTTGTGGCCGCCAGCATCATTGTGCTGCGCTTCCAGAAGGCTTCTCCACCCAGCTCCCCGGGCCTGGCCAGCCCTGGCCCCCTGTCCAAGGAGCACAGCTCCTTCTCAGACCACCTACAGCTGGTGGGCACTGAGCAGGTGTCAGTCCCCGAGCCTGGGCAGCTGCGACCCGCCCTGAGGCGCTACCTGGGCTTCCTGAGTGGGTGCAGCCCTGGAGCAGCCGTGTCTTGGGCACTCGGCATCCTGGTCGTCTCAGCCATCGCCCTGGCCTGTGTGCTGATCTTCGGGAACTCGGCCCTGCACCTCCCGCAGTGGGGCTATATCTTGCTGCTGGTGCTCAGCAGTGCCATGTTCCTGCTCAGCCTCCTCGTCCTGGGTGCTCACCAGCAACAGCACCGGCAGGACATGTTTCAGGTACCTCCCCCAGCCCAGAAGGCTCCCCTCGCCCCTTCCTCCTCTGCCACCCAGGAATGAAGAAGGGCCCACGGGCTGGGGAGGCCAATACATCCCTCTCACACCGCTTTGGGCATGGTGAGCGAGCACATGTCTCCAAAACCTCCGGGGAGGGAGAAAGGCACTGTGGCTCACGTGAAATCACGCTGGGGGCTGGCAGGTGTCTGCTGCAGCCCACCCAGCCCCGTCCCGCCCTGCCCCCCCCTCAGATCCCCATGGTGCCCTTGACTCCAGCCCTCAGCATCTTGCTCAACATCTGCCTCATGCTGAAGCTCAGCTACCTGACCTGGGTGCGCTTCTGCATCTGGCTGCTAATTGGTGAGTGGGGGCCAGGCTGGGACCCCAAGTGGGGCAGGAGGAGGGCAGGGAGGGCAGTGGGGGGCAGGGAGGGCTGGGACCTCCTCAGGCTCATGCCTCCCACCCTGCAGGACTCGCGGTGTATTTTGGCTACGGCATCCGGCACAGCAAGCAGAGCCAGCAGGAGGCCCCGGGACCCACCGCCACGAGATATGTAGTGTTCCCCAGCGGCAGTCTGGAGGAGACGGTGCAGGCTGTGCAGCCCCCCAGCCAGGCGCCAGCCCTGGTGCCCGCCCCCACGGAGTAGCCAGCCAGCCCTCACTTGCCCTGCCCTCCCCATCTCCTCAGGAGCCCCTTCTATCCAGGACAGCTTTGGTTTGCCTCCTCAGTCTGGGGGCCTCAGGACCTTAGAACTTAGCTCAGGCACTGAGCTCAGGTCATCAGGAGGGAGCCTTGGCCCGTGCCGGTGCGGCGGGCTCAGCCCAGTGCCTTCCCACTTCTGACCAGCTACCTGGGCAGGTGAGGTGGGGTAGGCGGGGAGGCCCCAGCCCTAGGCATCCACAATAATAATGGCTCAGCCAGCCATGTGGCCTGCTGCCGTGTCCACTGTGGCATTCTTTGTGGCACTGAATCCTCATCTACCCCTAGGAACTTGTCCCCAAGTACAACTGTCCCCAATCCACATCGGAGACCCCAAGACTCTGCAAAGTGGAGGCACCAGCCCTCAGACCACCTTGAGTTAGGGACATGGCCAGGCCTGGGTCAAGTGTCCTCCACTCAGGCCAAGGCCCCCCACCCAGCTCTGAGGGGCGGTGCACAGCCCTAACACCCCAGGTGAGAAGGGGCCAATGGCAGGAGTGGCGGTCACGATCCCCACGCATTTGCTTCTGGGGCAGAGCCTGGGCCCCGGCGAGGCTGCCTAGAAATGGCAGTGGGGTTCCAGGTTCTGCTGGGTTTCCCAGGGCTCCCTAAGAGTATGGCAGGTGCCCAAGGCCTGCCCAGAAATATAGACGCACACTGGTACTCAGGCACGCACACCCCTCCAGACATGCACCCACAAGGCCCGCACGGACCACCCTAGGGGTACACGCCATGCAGATGGAGGCCATAGGTGTTTCCAAGCTCAGGCTCCGGCCTCGGCTCTCTGGCTACCACAGCTCACTGTTTTGCTGCTTCCTCTGCTCTCTCTTTAAGGGCTGTGAGATAAAGGCTCGAGATGCTGCACGCGCATGTGGTACTCACGCCCCCGTGGGGGTGCACAGTACTGGGCTTGCTCCAGCCTACCTGGAGCTCAGGGGCCAGGAAAGCCCCAGGCCCGCCCTGTGCCACCCCACTGGTCTCCCAAGGCTGTGCCGTGTCCACCACAGAAGCCTCCCTCTTCCCGTTCCTGCCTGTAAGGACTACACGGGAAGCCACCGGCTTTCTTGGCTTTACTTGACTTCTCCAGCTGTGACATCAGCTTTCTCTAGGCCCCAAGGACAACCAGGTACATGGGACACATAGTGGGCAACCAGGCCTCATGGGCCATGGTCTCTCACCCTAGCCCTTCAGAGCCCACCTCCCCACGGACATGGCTTTGGGGACTAAGAGGCAGCAGGGACCCCAAAAGCTTTGCCAAGTCTCCAATGCCAGATGATTCCAGATGCCAGTCCAGCCTCAGCCCCAACCCTGACCCTCCCCAGCACACCCTGATCACCAGATACTCATGATTGAAAGCAGCCCCTCAGCTCCCAGGGGTGGGTACCCCTGCCCCAACCTAGAGAAGACCTGGCTCCTGCAACCCCTCTTGACCAAGGGCCCTGGGGCATGGGCAAGACTCAGGCCTCTCCAGGAGGATTCCAGAAGCAAGTCCTGGCCAGCCTGCTGCAGTCCTCAGTGTCCTTGTTTAGGGACATTCCTTCCAGCCATCTTGCCTGGGGTCAGGGTCAGGACCTCCCACATGTGACTGCCCTGACAGGTTCCTAGGTGTGGACTGGGCTGCTGGGAATTGCAGATGTGCAGCCTCCCCACCCCCAGGCTCCCAGGAAGCCTGGGGGGCAAGTTCCAGGTGGCTGGGCTGGGGGTCACCAAGGAGGGATACAGAAGGTCCTGAAGGACCCAGGGGCCACCAACCCAGCCCTGCCACCCTCTCCTCCCCATCCCAGCCCTCCGCAGTCAGAGGGCTGCTGGAGAGTGGCTGGGGCACATTACCTGAGCAGGTGTGGGCCCAAGAGGTGCCTGTACCCTTGCCTGGGGTCCTAGGGGCTGGATGAGCTGCCCACCCCACCCACATACCACAGATGAGGACCTGCCTTGGTCAAACCAGTGCCAGAGCACCAGAGACAATCCCCCACAGGCTCTTTCTGCCTTGCCTGTGGCTGCAGCCGCACAGACTCTCGTGCAGGGCAGCTGGAAGGGCGGGCCCTCCACCCGTGGCAGTGGCAGGCAGGGGAGGAGGGACGGTGCTGACAGCTGTGCTGTGTGCGGGCGGACCTGTGCGAGGAGCACTGGGGAGGGCCTGGGAGAGAGACTCTGGACAGACGCAGGAGGAGCCCCACTGGTTAGCTCTCTGCAGTGGGGCCCGGGCCCTCCCAGCCTCCACGGCTCAAGTTCCACTGCAGGGCTCTAAGCCAGGGGTCCTCAAACTTTTTAAACAGGGGGCCAGTTCACTGTCCCTCATATCGCTGGAGGGCCAGACTATAGTTTAAAAAAAACCATGAACAAATTCCTATGCACACTGCACATATCTTATTTTGAAGTAAAAAACAGGCAAAAACACCCGCATGTGGCCCGAGGGCCATAGTTTGAAGACGCCTGCTAAACAAACTGGCTGTGTGGCTCCCGGCAGCACTCTGCCAAAGCCGAGTGAGGGGAGGGACTCTTTGCCTAGGAGTTTGAGGGTGGCCTTCTCTCCCCACCCCTCCACCCTAGTCCTGGTGGAGCTTTATCCTCGCGATCCCCAGGGCAGAGCCCCCCCACCCACCCACCCCCACCAACCAGCAGGGAACGACTACAGGCCTCAGGAGTGGGCCGGCGAGTGGGTGCCAGAGCCTGGACAGGGCCGCCCCAGTGTCAGCGTCTGACTCCCAGCAGCAGTGGGGGCAGGTGCTGAGCCCTGTCTAAGGCACTTGGGCAGCTGGGCTTGGGGTGCGAAAGCCAGCCGGCTCCACAGAGAGCTGGCAGTTGCCTTCGGGGCCTTTGCCTGCAGACGAGGACAGCAGGTCAGGGATCAGGCCAGCATCCCCCAAAGCGTGGCAGAACCCAGTGCGCAGGCAGAGAGGCCTCAGCTCGAGGACCCTGCTGGCCCGCAGCTCACCTCCTCGTATTTCGTCCTCCAGTAGAAATGGGCTTCTCTGTCCACGTACAACAGCAGCAGGTCGCACAGGAAAGTGACCTGGGAGAGGCAGGGCCAACCCATGTCCCAGCACCCCAACCTGCCTCCGGCCACCTCCCCAGCCTTCACCCTGACTCTCCATATGCAGGGTGCCAAGGCATGCATCGTCTGGGGGACCCAGGCCGACATCTGAAGCCAGAGGGAGCCCACAGTGCAGACTCACCACACCCAGCCACGCTGCCCCGGTACCCAGAGTGATGGCCGTCGGGATGAGCCCGAACTTCCCTGCCTGGGAGAGACCTGGGCTGAGCCCCTTGGGCCACGCGTGCTGCTCCATGTCCCTCCCACCCCCGGCCAGACCCCTACCTCCCCAGTGACGAGGATGTCGAAGCGGATCCCATAGAGCTTGAGCAGGCTCCGGGCCTCCACGCCGGGGGCCTGCCACCAGTGTGTGGCCATCCTGGGGGCAGAAGAGGGCTCTGGTGGCCTGCTCTGCCCCGCCCCCCGGCTGGGCTGGGCTGCTGGCTCCGTAAACCCCAGCCCAAACCCGAGTCCTGGGTCTGGGCTCTTTGTCATTGCTGAGCAAACAGGGAAAGGAAGCTGAGACCTGCCTCTCAGGCACTCCCTGACTGCTGAGGGGACAGGGGGACAGAAGGGTCCCTAAGAGACACCACCGTGGGGGATTGAAGGAGAAGGAGAGGGCAGGCCAAAGCCTGTGAGAACACAGAAGCAGTAGCTCACTGTCTCCTGGGAACTGGGCAGGCTTCCTCGGGGGAGACACTGGAAGGTGTGCAGGCAGGTGGTTTGCCAGCTTGGTGGTGGGGTGAGGCGAGAGGCAGGGGGAGAGGACACAGGCAAGAGCCAGCCCCACATGGTCTCGAGAGGCTGGGGAGGTCAGGGAAGCCAGACGAATCCAGGGGTCTCCTTAGAAGACTCAAAGTCATGACAATAAATGCAGTTTAAGATCCTTGAGTGTAGTTGGGATTTTGGTGGGTCTGCCTGGGGACCGGGAAGAGGTGTGGGTGCCAGGTGAGAATCTTGGGTTCCAGTCTCTCGGGTGGCCCACAGGTGGCAGGGCAGGGGATCACCTCCAGTGTCTGTGGGAGGGTCTGTGGCAGGCGAGAGGTGCCGAGCCCCAGGGACTCGGGTGGGCAAACTCTGGACAGTGCAGGGCTGACGTGGCCAGGGCTGGGATTGGGAATTGCCAGGTTGTCCTTTAAGGAACCAGTTTTTTTTCCTTTTTAAAAGTAAACCTTTTAAAATGCTTGCCAAAAAAAAAAAAAAAAAAAAAAAAAAAAAAATCCTTGAATGCTTCCTGGATTGGAAAATACAAAGATTCAGCACCCTTCCCGGCACAGCGGGAAATGTGAGTGTTAGATTCATTCTGCCCACGGTTGGTTTCTTGCGGGCAGCAACAGGACGGCAGTCGTGCTGGGAAAGGCCTTGTTCCTGGGACAGTGCTGAGGAGGGAGAGTGTCCAGCGTCTGGCACCTACTTTCAAAGAGTTCCATTAGGAAACTACCTAAATATATCCAGCTCACTCTAGACAGGGAGAGAGAAAGCAAACCTGGCCAAACGATAAAACAAAAAACTGGTGAACCCAGATGAATGGTATCTAGGTATTCACGGTACTAACCTTTGAACTTTTCTTTGGAATTTTAAGTTATATCAGGTAAAACCTGAGGGGAAGGTAAAAAGGAAAGACTCCCATACTGTGGAGGGCTGATGGTGGAGGCAGGGGGGAGTGGAGGAAAGGCAGGGGGAGTGGAGGAGAGGCAGGGGAGAGTGGAGGAGAGGCAGGGGGAGTGGAGGAGAGGCAGGGGGGGATGGAGGAGAGGCAGGGGGGAGTGGAGACAGCCGGGGTAGGGAACTCATGGCCAGCGAGGTGGGGAGGACGCAGGGCTGAGAACACCTCTCCTGCCTCTGGGACCACGCTTGTGCACATGGTGGGGCATGCCGAGGGCTGGGCCTGGGTGTGGTCTCTCCTGGCGGGCAGGGGGACGGGTGGAGGGCGACGCTGGCTGGCATGCAGCAGCCGGGCACTGGGGACAGTGGGGGCCGCACCTGAAGTTGTAGTTCCTCTCCTGCAGCTGGAAGGAGTAGTGGGGCCGGCAGTCGGAGCCCCCGGTGTCCAGGTCACAATCCCAGTGGACACTGATGCCCACGGAGCCGCCCTGCACACAGCATAGCACCTGCTGTACCCGCAGTGGGGCCACGACCCTCTTCCAGAGCCCTCCGGGAAGCCTAGAACCCCAGAACCCACCAGCAACGCCAGGTCCTCAAAGTCCCCTCCAGCCTCAGCCACAAGGTCCTCGATGCGGAACACAGGGCAGTAGGGGCTGGAGTGTGGATCATAGCGGCAGTGCTTGAAGTAGGTAGGGTCCCGGGTCTCCAAAGCATTGGACCTGGGACAGGCCAAGGGGTGTCAGACAAGGCAGGGGACAGGAGGGTCTGGAGCCAGCCAGGACTTGCCCTTGCTTACTTGGAGAAGTTGAACTTGCTGAAGGTGACAGTGTTTTTGATGAACAGCGTGAAGTTCTGGGCGTGGATCAGCAGGGGCCTCCTGGCGGTGGAGGGGAGATAAGGGCCCTGCCAGGCCCGGAGCCCTGCTCTAGGGTGGAGGGGATACTCACGTGGGCACAGCGCCACTCTCCACCGGGCACCAGCTCTGGATCTCACAGGTCTTGTGGGTCCCGTTGAACACCACGCACCGGCCTGTTTTTAAGCCTTGAAGACACAGGATGAGTGAACTCCAGGCCCTTGGATCTCTGCAGGGCCTGGGGAGGGCACGGGCTGGGGGTTGCTGACAGAACAGAGAGATGCAGGGACACAGGCACAGCAGGGCTGCACTCAGGAGCTGCCCAGGGTCACAGCCCGGCCCCCCACTCTGGCAGAGGCACTGGAAGATGGAGCCCCCATTACCATGGCTGTGTGTGCCTTTCTCCCCTTCGGGGCAGTCCTTGTCAGTCCAGCAGTTAGCCAGTGGCACGGAGGGGTGCTGAGGAGGGCGAGAAGGCAGTCACCCACACACATTCCTTCCCACTTTACCCCCTCCCCCACTAGGCTACCGTGAGTTTGTGGCCATACAGTAAGATTGGAGGGTGCAAATGGTAGGAGGTGAGGGACGGGGCACAGGTGGTGCCATCTTCCAAAGACAAAGTGGGACCCCTTCCCTCCAGACAGTTCTGCCCTGGGGTGTGCAGAAGTTGATTCTTTGAAGTCCAGCTCCTCTGGTCCAATTTGGACAACAGAACAGGGAAGGGGAAGGGACCCTGGGTAGACTAAGTTCTTGGTGTTCGGTGTACCAGGTGGAGCCGCCGTGCTTGTCTGACAGAGCACAGGACCCTATGGTCCCAGGGCTGGGTAGGGAAGTGGGACCCCATAGACCTGCTGAGAGACTCTCAGCTACTCTTTCCGTGCTTGCTCTTTCGTAAGTCAGAGACGCTAATGCCCGAGCAGTGTCACAGTTATGGGGACCTGCCAGGAGGGGAAGGCAACCTGGAGCATTGGGCATTCTCACAGACATTGGCCTGCTCGGGTGGAGGATGGACGCTGCTGCCAAGGCCACTTAGCTTGGAACACAGCACCAGAGTGGCAGGAAAGGCCGAGGGCCTCTGGGACACCAGAATGAGAGGGCACGACTTTGTGGGGCTGGGACAGTGAAGTGTGGGCAGAGGACAGAGTGAAGTTGTCCCTGTGTCCTGAGTCTGCCTCTCTTCTCCACCTGGCTGGGCCACCATCTCCTACAACCAGACCCTATGGTGACCACTAAATGGGGCCCCCACTTCTGCCTCTGCCCTTATCCACCTCCCCAGGCAGTCCCAATGTATAGGAGAGTGGGAGGGACCAGGTGACCAGGCTCCGAAGAGGAGCTGGCAGGAACTCTGGTTGTTCTCAGGGAGCCAGGCTGTCAGACCTTCCCTTTCATGGGAAGATGCAGAAGTCCAGACACGGGCAAAAAGGAATCATACAGATTCCAGAAAACACAGACCCATGGTCCCAGCAAAATTCTTGAAGAGTCTACAAACTGAACCCTAAACAGACATTTCTGAGCATTTAGAAAGGAAGAGACAGCATGTGGGTTTGCCAAGGGTGAGCACATCCTCTGTGCACATACCTCACCTCCTGTGTGGATAGGGGTCAATCACAGACACATGACATCCCTAGCGACTGTGGTAGGACAAACCATCAGGGCTCAGGGGACAGGTGTGTACACAGTGAGCCCTAGCCAGCAAGCAATTAAATGCTGAATTTGATTAATGTCACTGTGGAGGCAGACTTCCAGGGCTGTGTCCTTGGTCCAAACTGTTCAAACAAAATCCAAGCTGGGGAGAAGAATGAGTGTGCTCTGTGACAGATGCTGGATCACTGAGGACAACCCGAGGCAAGAGGAAAAGGTAATATTTGGGGGAAGAATCTGCACTTCTGGATGAGAAATGAACAAAGCAGGGTGAGGGATCCTTGCTTGACCACAGTTGTAGTGAAAAATACTCCGAAATCATAAGCCTAATGGGAACCACCTCAGGACATATTAATAGAGCCTGGGCACAGACAAGGGAGGTGATATTCCAGCTTGGCTCTTGCTAGTAGAGCCCACCTGAGCATGTGCCCAGCTCTTGGTGTCACACAAACAACCTGGAGAGTACCCAGGAGTATGATCAGAAGGGGCCTGGGCACCTCATGGGCACTGCTGCATCTCAGAGGTCCGAGTCCTGTTGCCCACAGGCTGGGAGGACTTGAGCAATTGACTCAACCTTGCTGAGCCTCAGCCTGTTCATCTTAAATGGGGACCATCACAATTCCTACCAGGCAGGGCATATGTGAAGACTAAACGAAATGATCATGAAAAGGTATACCCCAGTGCCTAGGATACAGTAAGCACAGATTGAGCCTTCGGCCACCTGGGAAGGAGAAAGGGAAACATGCGTGGTGGATCCTGGGCAATCTTACCTCTGGGCATCTGCCCTGAACTTGGGATGGTGTCACAAGGAAATTGGTCACCAAGAAGAACACATTCTCTCCCTAGGAGGCAAGTCTTGAGTTGGCCCCTGCTTGGCCCCGCAGGCTGGAAAGGCCAGAACTGGCAGCTGGCTACATCTAGTCACAACCCCTCCCCCAGGTAAATGCCTCCAGCAAGGCAGGTTGAAGCAGAGAAGGGAGGCTGGCTGGGTTTCTGGCAATTTCTGAGCCTGGGGAGCCTCATGCCCAAGTACTGCTCTCTGTGACGGGTTTCTTTCTCACATTCACTCTCATTCGATCAGAATTTCCAACAGCCTCCTGCTTCTAGGCACTGAAGATCCACAGGTGAGTTGGAATGGGCACCTGCCCAGGCTGGAGGGGAGGTGGAGGCCTCACTGCATGCATAGCAGTGCTGGCAATGCAGGGGCCAGAGGAGCAGATGGTAAGCTCTGCCTAGGGCCAAAGGGTGGTCTGGGACGTTTGGAAGGGTGGCTGGAAGCTCAGAAGGGTAGTTTCCTGGGCACTTGAGGAATGCATGCCCAGGAAGGGAAGTCGAGGGCTGGGCAAAGTAGGTGTGGCAGCAGTTAGGATATGGAGGGATTGGTGGCCTTGGGAGCCTTCCAAGGGTAGAAAGTGGGGCTGCAGGCCCTGATGGTGTCGAGTACACAAGCTCAACTTGGCTGCTGCATGCACCTAGCAGTAGGGAGTGGGCAGGAGAGGTGTCAAAGGGCCCACTAGGGGACCACAGCCTCATCCAGGCATGGCTCGAGCAGCAGTGAAAAATGTTGGGGGGGACAGGAAGGTGTGGAGGCTCAGTCCCGGGTCCAGCTTTGGCACTCATGAATGTCACAGCCCTTGTTGGATGAAGAGAGGCCATGCCAGGAGAGGGAAATGAGTTCTCTTTGGGTGCGCTGTGTGTGCACCTGGGAGGCAGCTGTACTCAGAGCAGGAGGTCACGGGGGACACAATCTGGACATGAGCAGAGCAGAGGTGGAAACTGAGGCTGTAGAGGAGCTGGTGGAGGAAGAGGGAAGCAGCCTGAAAGGCCAGAGGAGTGCCTGACATGGCACCCCAGGTCAGGGAGGGGTGATTCAGGAAGCTCCAGGCCCAGGCCCACCCACACCCTCTCACCCTACCTTCAAGCTCAAGCCCTGAGTCTCAGACATCCCACTCTTTTCTGGATGAAGCCTTTGTAAACACAGTTCCCCTGGCAGGCCAGCCATTCCCTCATCCACTTAGAGACCTCCTACACATCCCCAAAGCACTGTCCAGGTACCGCTCTTCTCTGAGGCCCTTCCTGAGCCCCTCTAGCCACCCTCTGGCATCACATGCCTCTCTCTTTCACACACGTGCTGCAAGGGTGGTGTTGAAGCTGACAGCAGGTGAAGGACTCATGCTCCGGGCAGCAGCCCCAGGGTCCCCACCTGTGGCGGCTTCACATAGTCAGCCACATCCCACAGCCGGTTCCCAAGCTCCTTGATCTGTGTCACAGAGACCCCTTTGAGTTTGGTGATGACGGAAATCTGGGGGTCCAGGTCCTGCTCCTGGTAGCCTTTTTTGGTGAAGAGAGCCCACCTGGAGAGGAGGTGATGGGCAGTGTGGTGTGTCCCAGGACGCGGTGAGCAGGGGCAGAGCCAGGCCCTACGTGCTCAGCAATCTTCCCATATACCCTAGAGGCTCCCAGCCCAGCATCACGGGCCCCACCTCCTCTCCAGCCTCAGTTCCCACCCAAGCCCTGAACAGGCCCAGAGCTCTGGCCATGCATCAGAGAGCCAGTGCCCTCAGATGAAGAAGCCCACCACCACCACATTCACCAGCCAACACCTCCAACCTCGGTAGACCTCCTTACAGACTCCACTGACCCCCCCAGCTAGAAGTGGTGGTCCCTCTGGGGGGCCTTAGCACCCCAGCTCTCACAAATGTCAAGAACTACCTCCTGCAAGGCACCTCCTCCGCAAGAGGGGGTTGAGGTGGGGGGATGATCCTGCACTGTGCCCAGAGCCCAACATGGGGCTGGGAACAAGGCCCTGGAAAGAGTGTGCACACCACACTCAAGCACAGTTTGTGATTGTATTGCCTACCCCCGCCATTCGAACCTGCCTCTCCCCACCAACCTAGCCCCCAACAAGCCTCAACCCCCAGCCCAGCAGGACCAACCCTGATCCCCCACCAGCCAGCCCAGCCAAGAGCTCTTCTCTCTTACCCCACCACATAGGCCACAATCCCAAGCTGCAGCAGCCTCTGCAGGGCGCCCACTCGCCAATTCTTGGTTATCACATACTTCTCCGTCTTGTAATCCAGAAACCCCCAGCCTGCTGCGGCCCCCGAGGAGCCCATGCTCCCAGCTGCTGCTGGCTGCGGGCACATGAGTCAGCACAGCAGCTGCAACCACGGCTGAACAGGAGGCAAAGCAGGCGCCACTGTTAAAGGGACACTTCCACTTGGGCAGGATCCAGCCTCCGCTTCCGGCTCTCAGTCCCAAACCCCAGCTGCCCTGGCCCCGCCATCCTCTCCAGATTGCTCTGCCAGGCCCTGAGACACAAAGAGGAGCAGCCTGCTCCCGCCCTCTGGCCTCACTTCCTTGTGGGGTGGGGAATGACAGGTGTTACAAGTGCCAGAGAGGGCAGCTGGAGGGACCAAGAAAGCCTCAGGAAGAAGCGACCTCTGGCTGACACCCGCGGACTCTGCAGTTCGACAAGCAAAGCTGGGGAGGGATGTTCCCGGTGGGGGCAGCGGCGTACCGAGACCAGAGCGTGCGACCCTGGCTCCGCCGCGGGCGGCCGCTCCGGGAGGTCCCGCAGAGCTGCCCACGGCCGGCCCGCCAGTGCGGCGAGTGAAGCGCAAGCCCTGGAGACGGGCGTGCTTCCCCGTCCGCGACGCGGCGTCCACGCCGGACCCTCACGGGGCAGCAGGGAGCGCGGACGCCCGCGAGGCGCCCAGCCCCGGGCTTGGCCCGCGGCGCGCGCGCGAGCGTGCATAGACCCGGCTCCACGTGGGCGCAGGCCCTCTGCGGTTTCCGGGGCAACAGACAGCACCGCGTAGCCCGGGCGCCCACCGCGGTGTGGGGAGGGGAGCGAGTCGCTATTGGTTAAGGCGGGCGCCTGTCGCTGTCTGCCACATGCGATTGGTCAGCGCAGCTGGAGGATCCGCCCACATCCACGGGCCGCGCTCTAGGTGCGGTCGCGGCCGGGGAGCCTTCGGCTGCCAGATGGACGTGACCCTGAGCCGTCCGTGCGCGAGGTGCGAGGAGAGGGAAGAGCTGGAAGAAGAGGCGGCAGTGGCCGCTGGACGTCCTGCAGGGGTGTCCGAGACCGAGGAAGCTTCGCACCCGGATTCAGACTCCGACCTGGAAACAGAAGGGGCAGCGGGGCAGCGGGGCCAGGCCTGTCTCCTCACCTTGGGGGCCGGACGGAGGCAGGTTGAGGCCGAGAGGGCAGGAGACCCCTGTCCAGCAAGGAGCGCACCCCTTTGTGGGGCGTCTTCAGGGCAGTCCCGTGCCCTCCCGTCGGTGCTCTTGGGGGCATCAGGAGTTCTAGCATTAGAACATGCTTCCAGAATGATGTTAAAATGCACAACCCACTAGACAGTGTACCAAGGTGTATCCCACCCTGGAATAGGATCAGAGCTGGGCTTTCCCAAGGCACAGGAAAAACTAAGTTAATGGATGTATTGAATTTATAATTATTTCAGCTTTTTTCCCCTCCATAAAGTGTTCCTTTGTGGTCTGCAGCCCAGGGTAAAAGACAGCACGCACACTGGCATCAGACAGCCAGGGTCTTAATCCTCTGCTAGGATTAGCTACGATTAGCTGTGTGACGTGGAGGAAAGGATTTGCTTTTTTTGAGCCTCTATGTCCGCATCTGTAATATGGGAGCAATAGTCCCAACTAGTACAGGAAGAAATGCCTCTAGAGGGAAAACATAGGCCAGGTAGTGACAGAGGGCAGGGGAGGAGGCAGGGGCTGTGCCTCTGAAGGGGTCTACATTTGTCCTCCTGTCCCCTACCAGGCACCCATGAGCTTGGAGAACCAGGCAGGAACACCCTCTACTTGGGGTCTTGTCAGGCCCCTTAGCGTTGTGCTTATCTCCTGCTTTCTGCGCCAAGGGAGTGCACTGGAGCTGAACCTGCGGCACTGTGGCCTGGGGCCCCAGGTACCATTGGAGGGACCATGGGGCCAGGCTTGGAGGGGGAGACCCAGGAGACAGCAGCCAAAGGAGTGCCCCTCTCTGAGTCCATCCCACACGCTCCTTAGCTTTCCCCTGGGTCAGGCCTGTCCCATCCACTACATCTGGGAGGCAGATGAGATAGAGGCTGTGACAGAGATCTGCATGAGAGATGGGGAGCCTACAGGCCCCTAACCTGCTGAGGGGTCAGGAAGAGCTGCAGGAGTGAGACCCGGACACAGCCTGGAAAGAGAAGCAAGTGTCCTGATGGTGGGAAGGGGGGGCTTTCCAGCTGGAGGACAGAGGGGGCTGGACCCTGGGAGCGTGAGCCAGGAGAGTGGCCAGCCGTGTCTGGGGCCCTCCGCCCTGGGAAGGACCAGGCCCCTCTGCTGCATCCCAGGGGGCCCGGGATCTGGCTTCCTCGCTGGCCTCCAATCCCTGCATCAAGCGGCTAGACCTTCGGGACAATGGGCTCTGTGGGGCTGGCGCAGAGGCCCTGGCAGTTGCCCTGAGCAAGAGCAGCAGCACCTGTGGTAGGTGACCAGCTGGGGCAGGTGGGCGGGCTTGAATCCTCCTTTTCTTCAGGGATGTGGCCCCCCTAAGAGGGGCCTTCCCACCTGGGGACTGCTGGTGTTTCTGGGGATTAGGGAGGGGTCTCATCACAGGGTGGGGCATGTCGGGGTGGAGTTAAACCCTGTGCAGTGTGCCCAAGCTGCATGCCACTCCCTTTCTAACCCACTCCATGCTGCTACTCCCCTCCTTTGCTGGCCAGCACCCCCAACCCCAGCACATGGTAGACTCCCAATGCCCAAATGCAAGGTGGAGGAATCCTTCAACAGAGAGGAGGGGGTTGATCAGCCCAACCTCACTGAGCCTCAGTCTCCAATCTGTGAAATGGTCTCAACAATACCTCTGAGTGCTTGGGGCTGCAATGAGCATTAAATGAAAGTGGATATGTGAAGTGGTCACCACAGTGTCTGGCCCATGTAAGTGCTCCATGTACTGCCACCTGGGCTATCACTGCTAATCCCGGCAGTGGGACAGTGAGGGCTTCTGCTGTGGGTTATATCACTGCCAGATGGCTGCCCCTCCACCACAGCGTTCTTGGCAGCACCCAAAACACCTTTGGACAGAGAAGCTTGTGGAAACACAGGGATGGGAAAATCAGGGGCCGGAAGGGACCCAGCTCGTAGGTGGCAGGGTCATGCAACACCAAACAGTGCAACTGCAAAGCGCCCTCCTCTGCCTCAGGCCTGGAGGTTTGGGGGATGGAGGAACGGGAGGAGGGTGGTGCCTAGCTTTGGATTCCCCTGACTGAGGAATGGTGCTGGCCAGATGTGGACCTGTCAGAGAACCAGCTGGGAGCAGCAGAAGCCCAGGCCCTCTGTGTTACCCTTGTGGGGAACCCGGCTGTGCAGAAGATTCGGCTGTCAGGGAGCGGCCTGGGGAGCAGGCGGCCCGGCACCTTGCTGAACTCCTGCCGGCCCACACAGGCATGGAACCCCTGGACCTGAGCTGTGATCAGCTGAGCGACCAAGCAGGTAATGCCCACGAGGGGCCACCATGAGACACGAAAGCTCATGGGTGGGGGTTGGCAGGATCGTGCTGAGCACCCACCAAAGAGCATCCACACTCTGGCTCCTGCTCCCCACACCCCACCTTGGCCCACTCCTCCCCTCTCCAGCCATACAGAACTCTCAGTTCATTCCACAAATAGCTTATTGGCCGTTGCTGTATGTGCTGGGCTGATTTAGCCACTAGGGATCCAGCCTTGAACAAAACAAAGTCCCTGACCTCAAGGAACATGTTAACAAGATCATTCTCGGTAATTATCAGTGCTAGAAAAGAAATCGATAATGGCCAGGTGCAATGGCTCAGGCCTGTAATCCTATCACTCTGAGAGGCCCAAGTGGAAGGATCGCTTAAGGCCAGGAGTTTGAGACTAGCCTAAGCAAGATCAAGGCTGTCTCTATGGCTTGGTGCAGTGGCTCACACCTGTAATCCAAGCACTCTGGGAGGCCAAGGGGAGGATCATGTAAGGTCAGGAGTTCCAGACCAGCCTGAACAATAGGGAGACCATGTCTCTGCTAGAAATGGAAACATTAGCCGGGCATGGTGGCGCATGCCTGTAGTCTCAGCTACTCGGGAGGCTGAGGCAGAAGGATCACTTGAGCCCAGGAGTTTGAGGTTGCTGTGAGCTAGCCTGACGCCATGGCACTCTAGCCCAGATGACAGAGCAAGACTCCATCTCAGGAAAAAAAAAAAAAAAGACTATCTCTACAAACAAAATATGAAAATCAGGCAGGTGTGGCAACACATATCTGTAGTCCCAGGTACGCAGGAGGATCACTTGAGCCTAGGATTTTGAGGTTGCAGTGACCTATAATGATGCCATTGCACTCTTGCTGAGTGATAGAGCAAGACCCTGTCTCAAAAACTAATAATGCATTCTTCTAGAGATTGGGGAATCTCTGCTTTAGAGGAGTAGCTGGGGAGGCCTTTGTGAAAAGATGACATTGAATCAGAAATGTGAAGGCAAGACCAGAGGGAGAGTATTTCAAGCAGAGGACAGTAAGCATGCAGGCCTTTTTCCCAGACTGACAGATACCAGTGTGACTGGGCTAATGACCCAGAGGAGAGTGGCCATGCTGTGGGGTGGAGAGGCCAGAGGGGGCACAGAGCTGCAGATCATGGCAAAATGTATGAAAATTTTATTCCAAGTGCTGTAGAAGACACAGGTGAGACTCCTAGAACTCATCGCTTGTGCCCCAGGGGCCTTTGCACCAGCTGTCTGCTTTTTTTTTTTTTTAAATTTCAGCATATTATGGGGGTACAGATTTTAAAGTTTCAATAAATGCCCTTCCCCCCTCCCCCCACAAGTCTGAGTTTCCAGCATGACCATCCCCCAGATGGTGCACATCTCACTCACTATGTATGTATATACTCGCCCCTCCCCCCTCCCCCCTGCCCAATACCCTATTACTGTAGTACCTATGTGACCACTTAGGTGCTACTCAGTTAATACCAGTTTGCTGGTGAGTATATGTGGTGCTTGTTTTTCCATTCTTGGGATACTTCACTTAGTAGTATGGGTTCGAGCTCTAACCAGGAAAATATAAGATGTGCTATATCACCATTTTCTCAGAGCTGAATAGTACTCCAGTTGGTTATACATATACCACATTTTATTAATCCATTCTTGGATTGATGGGCATTGGGCTGTTTCCACAGCCTTGCAATTATGAATTGTGCTGCTGTAAACATTCGAGTGCAGGTGTCTTTTTTTGTAGAGTATCATTGGATCTTTTGGGTAGATGCCCAGCAATGGCATTGCTGGATCAAATGGTAGATTCACTTGTATCGCTTTAAGGTATCTCCATATTGCTTCCACAGAGGGTTGAACTAGTTTGCAGTCCTACCAGCAGTGTAGGAGTGTTCCCTCTCTCCGCATCCACGCCAGCATTTGTTTTTTGAGACTTTTTGATAAAGGCCATTCTCACTGTAGTTAAGTGAATCTCATTGTGGTTTTGATTTGCATTCCCTCATGATTAGAGATGATGAGCATTTTTTCATATGTTTGTTTGCCATTCTTCTGTCTTCTTTAGAAAGTTTCTGTTCAAGTCCTTTGCCCACTTTTTAGGTATTTGATTTTTTCTTGCTGGTTTTCGTGAGTTCTAGTATATTCTAGTTATCAGCCCTTTATCGGATACGTAGGACAAAAATTTTCTCCATTCTGCAGGTTGCCTGCTTACTTTCATGACTGTTTCTTTGGCTGTGCAGAAGCTTTTTAGTTTATCATGTCCTATTTATTTTGTTGCTGCTTTGATTGCCTTTGGGACTTCATAAACTCTTTGCCCTAGGCCGATGTCTAGGACATTTCCTCTAGAGTTCTAATAGTTTCATACCTTAGGATTAAGTCTGTTATCCAGTGTGAGTTGATTTTTGTGAGAGGTGAAAGGTGTGGGTCCTGCTTTAAGCCTTCTACAGTGGCTATCCAGTTTTCCCAGCACCATTTATTGAAAAGGGATTCTTTCCCCAGCGTATGTTTTTGTCTGCTTTGTCAAAGATTAGATGCTATATGAGGATGGTTTTATATCAGGATTCTCAGATCTGTTCCACTGGTCAATATTCCTATTTTTGTGCCAATACCAGATTGTTTTAATTACTATAGCTTTGTAGTATAGTTTGATATCTGGCATATTAATGCTCCCATTTTTTTTTGTTGCCTAGAATTGCTCTTGATATTCGGGGCTTCTTTGGTTCCATACAAGCATAAAATTATTTTTATATCTTTGAAGAATGCTGATGGATTTTAATAGGTATTGCAGTGGAATCTGAGATCAGTTTGGGTAGTATAGACATTTTAATGATATTGAGTCTGCCGATCCACGAGCATGGAATGGATTTCCATCTGTTTACATCCTCTGCTATTTCCTTCCTCAGTGTTTCATAGTTCTCCCTGTAGAGGTCTTTACCTCCTTGGTTAAGTATACTCTGGTACTTTAATTTCTTTGTTGTATTGTGAAGGGTATTGAGTCTAATTTGTGTCTCTATTTGATTGTTGTTGGCGTATACGAATGCTTCTGATTTCTGTGTATTGATTTGTATCCTGAATCTACTAAATCATTTATCAGTTCCAGGAGTTTCTTGTCCAGTAAGGTTTGCTTTATGAATCTGGGTTCACCTATGTTGGGTGCATATATATTTAAAATTGTTATCTCTTCCTGTTGAAGTGTGCCCTTACCATTATATAATGACCCTCTTTGTCTTTCACTACTTTTGTTTGTTTAAAAACTAAATCGTCTGAAATTAGAACTGCCACGCCAGGCTCTTTTGGCTTCCATTTGCTTGGAATACTAATCTCCACCCTTTTATTTTAGTCTGTATGCATCCTTGCAGGTTAGATGTGTTTCCTGAAGACAGAATATACTTGGCCTGTATTTTCTTATCCATGCAGCCAGCCTAGTCTCTTGAGTGGAGAGTTAAGCATTCACATTTATTGAGAGAATGATAGTAAGGTAGATTACTGTTCATTCTGTTGGTTGGATGTTGTTGCTATGATTTCTGTCTTGAGCCATTGTAATATCTGGCCTTTTTAATATGGTTTTTGGTTGTTTTTATATTCGTGGGTTATTATTATGATGTTCCGTGCGTAACATGTTTGAGTACTTCTGTAGGGCTGGTCTTGTCTTGGTGAATTCTCTGAGCCTTTGCTTGTCTGAAAATGTCTTTATTTCTCCTGATATATGAAGGTTAGTTTTGCAGGGAATAAGATTCTAGGCTGAGCATTGTTTTGTTTCAAAAGAGTGAGAATGGGCCCCAGTCTCTCCTTGCTTGTAAAGTCTCATTAGAGAAGTCTGGTGCTATTTGAATTGGCTTTCCCTTGTATGTTACTTGCTTCTTTCGTCTTACAGCTCTTAGAACGGCCTCTTTAGTTGATACTTTGGTCAGTCTGATGACTGCATGTCGTGATGTCTTCCTGTTTGCATTGAATCTCCCAGGGGTCCTCTGAGCTTCTTGAATTTGTATATCGAGATTTTGAGCAAGGCCTGGGAAATTTTCCTCTATTATATCTTCAAATAGCTTGCCCAACCCTTGAGTGTTGTCTTCTTCCCCTTCTGGTAACCCTATGACCTTCACATTAGGTTTCTTCACTTAATCCGACATCTCTTGTAGGCTTTGCTCTTTTCTCTTGTTTCTCTGCTCTATTTCTGTGACTGATTTATTTAATTGGAGGGTGTTATCTTCAATCTCTGAGATTCTTTCTTCTGTTTGATCTACCCTGTTCTTGAGACTTTCCACTGTATTTTGTAGTTCCCTGAATTGATTCTTCACTTCCAGGAGTTCGGTTAAACTTTTCTTCATTTTGTCTATTTCTTTAGTGAACTTTTGTTCCAGGTCCTGGAGGCTTTTTGTGCTTTCTTGGTTATTGAGTTGTTCTTGCAGGTTGGTGAGTGTTCTTATGATCCACATACGAAATTCCTCTTCTGTCATTTTGGTTGCCTGATTTTGGTTGGTATCCGTTTCTAGGGGGCTGGGGCTCCTCTTTGGAGGTGTGTTTTCCGTTTGGTTCTTCATATTTTCTGAGTTCCTTTGCTGATTTCTTCCCATGTCGATCAGTTGTTGTTTCATTTTTAGGTTTTCGTTTGGGTATTCACATGCCTTGTTTAGTTTCTGAGCCGGTAGGTGGTGTCTGTGGGTGAGATTCGACCACTCCCTGTATAATGAGTCAGTAGGTGCCGTGAAAAGGGTGTGCAGGATGTCCTCCCTGTCAGTAGGTGGCGCTTGCTTGGAGGAACAGGCTACGCTGTTGTTTTTATGTCCTGTTGTCAGCTGTTGTTCCTGTAGAGAGAACTCTAGTGCCTCAGGTGGTCGGTGGGGCCCTGGGACTTCAGGTGTGTCCTTTTCTGCCCCTCAGTGAGGGCTGGTCTAGGAGAGAGTCTGGGCGGAGCTGGGTTGGGTAAGCCTGCCCTCAGGCACAACCAATGCCGTTAGCAGGGGTCAAAGTTCTGTTCTCTGCTTCCAGGAAAAGCTGTCAGGGAGGGGCTGTAATGGCCCCACTCAAGTCAGAAAGCCTACGTGTGGGGTGGGGCTGTCGAGACCCATAGTCTGGAGTGGGCCTCACTTCTTTCCACCCTCCCCAACTCCACAGCTACTCCTGGGCCTCTGCCAGCAGGCCAGACCACACGCCACCAGGCCTCCCCTGGCTGTTATGCAGGCGGGGAGGTTCCCTGCGCAGGAACGCCACCTGGGCTGGGCACAAGGCCTCCTTTTGAGGGGAGGGTTGCCCTCTAGGAGGCTGATCTGCCCCTGAACACACACACACCTCAGTAGGGTGTTCACAAATATCCCTTCTGTGCCCCAGGCAATGCGAGACCTCAGTGCACAGGATCCGGTCTGCAGGTCTGACCTCTGGGCCCCAGAGTTCAAACTGTATCCCCACCAGAGAGAGCAGTGCCAGTCCCAATTCACCCACAGGGAGCCCACACTGGGTCGATGTCTCTCAGCCTCAGGGTCTGCCCCGTTCTCCTGGGATCACCGTGCCAGCAGCACCTGGGAGGGCTGTCGGGTAGGGAGCTCACGGTCTGAGTTCCCCTTAGTCAGCTGTAGGGCCCCAAAAGGGAAGGTCCTGTTCCCTGTAGGTGCCTCTGGCTGGTGGCTGTATTGTCTCTCTGTCTCTGTGGGCAGCCGAGGGTAGGGTCGGGGGAGGGGAGGAGGAGGCAATATGGTGCCTGCTGCGCAGCTCGGGTCTGTGCACACGGAGGTGCCCCAAGGGAGTTGGGAGCCTGGTGCTGTGTCTGCCACTGGCTCACCGCTCACTGGCAGCGGCCGTCGCTGGGCTGGTGTCCGCAGGTCTCTCCACTTGCTGGGGAGCCCACCAGCAGTCCGGGATGCAGGGGAGGGGAAGCGGCTGATCCACCTACACTTCCCGCTGGTCTCCGGGCTGCTCCAGCGGTCTCAGCTTCCAGTTCTCCTCCGCAACCTCCTCCCGTGGAGTCTCCCGTGGTCTCAGGTACTCCTCCTTCCGACCCTCATCCGATGTAGGCTCGTCTTCTTGCTTCTTTTAATTTCTGCTAGAATCTGTCTTTTCTGCAGAGACACTCTGTCTGGCGGTGTTTCTCATCCGCCATCTTCTCTACCCCCAGCTGTCTGCTTTTAAGGAATATTCACTTCTATGTACCTTTCCCCAAATGCTCCATTCCATAATATGAATCACCTGGGACCCTGGGCTAGGAATACAGATTCCTGGGCTCTGGACCTGCTGAACCAAACTCTTGGAGGAATGCCCAGGCATCTGCATCTTAATGGATGTCCAGGAGAATTGTCTGATCTGGATGGTTTCAGAATAGCTGCTCTGTCTCAAGCAGCTTAGAGTGAGTGGGGTGGCAACAGCCTGTGAGAACTGGCCTCCAGTTGAACTGCCAGAGTGCTAGTTTGGCTTTTAAGAAAATCATTGTGAGAAGTCAGTGAAATTAAAAGAAAGGCTCATTTCAGACTTTGACGAACTTCAGTGTAGGTGTCTCTCTGGGCCTGCAGCTGGGCAAGTGCCAGAGAGGCAGTCAGGGTGGAGGGCTGGAGGCCAAGGCCCTGTGCACATATGCACACGAGAAAGGCAGGTGGGCCCAGGAAAGGACAGTCTCAACCAGGCCATTTTGTTTCCCCATGGGGTGGGGTCTGTGGTGGGCCTGACCCCCGTGAGGGGTGAACGAGCATGGGTCTCAGTGTGCCCTCTGGTCTGTGGTGATGGGAGCACCTGTCTTATAGGACAGCTGCAGGGATCAGAGGACAAGCATTGGCAGTTACAGGGGTGCAGAAAAAAGAGTCTTTCTACCCTTCAGCTGTTCAGCATAGAAGGGGCTTCCCCACAAAATGGGGGACCGCTGCACTCTCCTCCCATCCCTAGGGGTGTCAAAGGAAGGAGGAAAGAACGGTGTATCTGAGAACCTGGGGGTGTCACCTCCTGTGCTGGGCCTGAAGTGCCCTTCTCAGCAGGGCAGTGCTGGGAGTCCCAGCTTCTGTGCAGGGAGCTCTCCAAGGTGCTAAAAGCGTCTGCCGTGGCGTGTGCTGGACCAGCAGGCTGGCTGAGCACTCCCGGTTAGGTCGTCTGGTTTTGCTCTGTGCATTTCTTCAGCCCAGCCTTGCTAGACCTGTGCTAGGTGTCAGGATCACAGTGAGGGGTCAATGTTAGACCCTTAAGAGACTCCCAGGCTGGTGGCAGAGACTAGCCAGGCAGAGAGAGGTCTAGTGGTCAGAACCTGGAAGGATGGAGGCACCATAGACAAGGGGCCCGAGGGGGTCCAGCCCAGCCCAGTGGGGCGGGCAAGGCCTCCTGACACCATGGACCCAAGTGAGAAGGATGAGGAGCTGTTAGCCAGGAAAAGAAGGGGCTCCAAATGGGGGACAGCCAGGAGGCATGTTGGTGCTGGTGCTTCTGTGACTTGGGAGCAGGTCAGACTGCCTGACAAAGTGGAGCGTGGGCTGGTGGGTGGGGTTCTGCCCGAGTTACATGCTAAATTGCGCCCAGGCTTTCTTTCCCCACACCGTGCCCTTCCCTTCTCTACCACCCCTTCATCCTCCCCACCACAGCTGTGCCAGCCCTGTCACCTCTGGCCTAGATTGTGGCATCAGCCTCCAGTTGGTCTCCCAGCCTCTCACCTCTGCCCCGCCCAACCCATTCGATCCTCATTACCCACTGCTAGGGATCTGGATGAGGTGCTCATCCAGCCCTGTCACTTTTCTTTTCTTTTCTTTTTTTTTTTTTGAGACAGAGTCTCACTTTGTTGCCCAGGCTAGAGTGAGTGCCGTGGCATCAGCCTAGCTCACAGCAACCTCAAACTCCTGGGCTCAAGCGATCCTTCTGTCTCAGCCTCCCAAGTAGCTGGAACTACAGGCATGCGCCACCATGCCCGGCTAATGTTTTCTATATATATTAGTTGGCCAATTAATTTCTTTCTATTTATAGTAGAGACGGGGTCTCGCTCTTGCTCAGGCTGGTTTCGAACTCCTAACCTTGAGCAGTCTGCCCGCCTCGGCCCCCCAGAGTGCTAGGATTACAGGCGTGAGCCACCGCGCCCAGCCAGGCCCTGTCACTTCTTAAGGCCCTCCCTGACTCCTGGCTACCCATAGGCAGAGCCCCTTGGCTCAGCACGAAAGGCCTCTGCAGCACCCTCCTGTACTTGTCACCCCCACCTCGCCTCATGGGCTTCCCTCCCCAGCCCGGCCCGGCCCCAGGCTGCGTGCACTTGCACAGGGGCTTCTGCTCGTCCACACTTTCCCAGGTCCACTCTCCACCGAGCATGCGCACGTGCTGGGGATTCTTCAGCCCCGCACCATCACCTCTGTCCACTTTCTTCAACCCCTGGGGTAACAAGGTAGGGTTAGCCCCTTCTTCCCACACCTCCCTGCTCTTGATCTCAATGGCTCACATCCCATTAATTTGTATTGATATCTCCCCTGCTAGATGTGAATTCCTTGAGGGCAAGGCAGTCCCATGTTGGGTTCATCTCCATGACCCCTGTGCCCAGCAGAGACTCAGGCACGCAGTGGGCATCAGTGTCATTTTTTGAAAGAACAAACAGAGTGAATAAGAAGGTCTCTTGTTTCTGAAGGAGGGATGCTCTGACCAACCCTGGCAGAAAACACCGGACTCACTGAGCTTAACATAAGCTGGAATCACCTCCAAGGCCCGGGAGCTGTGGCATTTGCCAGGGGACTGGAGGTAGGAGGGCTCTGCCCGCTGGCTCCTCGGGCCTGTCTTTTGGGGCACGTCTCCCAGATGTCAGCCCCTGTCTTTGCTGCTCTTCAGAAATGAACCTTGGATCTTTTAAGCAAAGGTTAAAGAGTGTTTCTTTAGGTGACTTTAATTTCCCTGACCTCAGTTAATGACTGCATGTCACACAGCTGAATGTCTCACACCTTCCCCAGACATCAAAGGCACTCAGCTGGTAGGGGACATCCGTGCAGTCTCTTGACACATACTTGCTGTTGGGCATATGCAGACACTCCCCTGAGATGACACCCTTGCACCCTTGGATGCCAGCATACCCTCTCAAACACCCCACCCGCTCCCTCGAGTGTTGTGATTCACAGGCCTCCGGCATGGGAGGCTCAAGCCCCTACCAGGGTGGCACAAGATGCCTCCAATGCCCTCTTATTGGGCAGTGCCTTGCCCTCTTATGGCAGGTGGCAGGTCAGGCTCTGTCTTCCCCCCAACATAGTTCCCTGGGCATGTTTCCCCTGACAGTCCCTCACTGGAGCCTCTGCTGGGCCCCTGGGCTGCTCCATGTCTCGGGGTCCCTGCCTTCCAGAGGCTACTAAGTGGGTATGGAGTCTGATCCCTGTGTCTCGGGCCTGCTGCTGTTTGGTAGATCCCCTTCCAGTCTCTGAGGGCCGTTCATACCCGCGGCCACCCTTTTTTCGTGCTTTGGGCCATTCAGCTCACTGTCACTGTCATCCAAGCCACAGCTACCAGGGGCCTGTGCAGTACTTTCCTGATTCTTCCCTGAAACCTCTGCCCTCTGGACCGTGTTGTGCTCCCTGCACCTCGGGCCTCTGAGCTCTGAAGCCGAGGCCCCCTGCCTTTCTCCACTGTCAGATTTGGTCCCCAGGCTTTGCTCCTTGGCATTCTAGGCAAACATCTTCCTTAAAGTTCTGGACATCTCGTACAATGGCTTTGGAGATCCTGGAGCCTCTGCGGTGGGCGAGGCCCTCAAGGCCAACAATGTGCTGGAGGAACTCAACATGAGGTGAGGAGCACAGGGGCGTCACTCTAGAGACCAGGGGTCTCGCTGCTGTTCACTTTAATTCTTGAACCTACCACAGTCTTCCTGTGATGGGGCTTGAGCCACAGTCCCAGAGCATCCATCCAGCTCCATCTTTTTTGTTCAAGTTCATCATTTATATATTGGGACTTGTAATTCCTGCAGTGTAGGCAGGTGGCTGGGAGTCGCAAACCTGTGTATAAAGCAGGGCCTGTGGTGGGGTGGGGGCTCCGTGAGAGCTTCCTCCTCTCAGAAAGGGAGCCTGGTCGTGATGGGGCAATGCAGGGCCCTGACAAGTGGGCCCGTGTGCATGCCTTGCTCAGCACGTGGCTGCTCCTCCAGCTCCTGGTGGCTGCAACAGCAACTGTGGCGGTGACATGGGGGCAGTCGGCTCTGCTCATCTGCGTGGAAGGTAGCACAATGCATGTGTTTTTTTGTTGTCGTTTGTTTGTTTTGTTGCAGCAATAACCGAATCTCTGTGGTGGGAGCGCTGAGCCTGGGCCTGGGCCTCCAGGTCAACCGGACCCTGAGGGTTCTTGTTGTGAGTGCTGGCCCGATGGGCACAGACCTGCCCAGCACCTGTCCATGAAGATCCCTCCCCCGCCAAATTCCCCTCACCCCCGCGTAGGTGCAGCTGGTGGGTGCACAGGCTCCAGGGCTCAGGTGGGGTCTCTGGGAGGGACCTCCCAGCTTCCCCTTGTGACCACTTCATCCCAGTACCATTCCCTTCACCCCTGGCCTGGCCCTCCTCCTCCCCCCATCTGTCCCTCCTGTGGCTCCCCAATGCTCTTTGCTGCCCTTTTCTGCTGGGACCCCCGTGCTGTGTCACCTTCATCTTCTCCCCTGCCCTTCCTCTGGCCTTGCTGGATCCCAGGGTCAGCCCAGGAGTAGCCTGGCCTCTGCTCAGACCAAGGGCCTTGTGTGCCCAGCAGGGGTTCCCTTCCTCCAGGCTTGCAGGTGGAGAGGAGCTGAGCAAGCCTGACAGCAGAAATCAGAGAAGGGAGAGAGCCAGGGCAGGGTGGAGCAGGTCCCAGAGACCACTGTGCCCACAGCATGTTCTGGGGGGCAGTACTGCCAGCTCTGGAGGAGGCCTCTGGCTCTGCCTGGCCCTCTGCTCCTGCTCCAGCCTTCCCCTCCTGCCCCAGCCTTCTCCAGACTCTTCCCATAGCTCTCACACACAGCAGCCCCTGCCCTGCTGGAAGCTCCTCCCTCTAAGGGCTGCCTCTTAGTGAAGGCTCCTTTGCCCCAAGTCAGAGGGTGGGGCCCAGAGCTCTTTTCACACCTTCCCTCTCACCCAGCACAGTGTGCTCAGGCTGCTGGGCTCTCTCTCCTCCCTTCCACCTTGAGAAGTGAGACTTGCTAGTCTCCTGGCTCTGGTCCCTCCCACCTACTACCCAGCGATCTTTCTAAATCAGAGACGTGCCTGTGCGCTCCCTGCTTAACACCCGTGGGGTTTGATCCCCTCTGGATGAAGCCAAGCTTCTTAGTGTGTCATTCACAGCATGTCATGGGGATCTGGGCTCTGCCAACACCCTCTTACAAGTTCGTTGCTCTCACACCAAGCTGCTCGGAATTCACACACGCACACACAGAGTACTATTTTTCACCCCTTTTTGCTTCTGCTGCTTTTCTTGCTGAGCTGCTCAGCCCCTCCCTTAAGTCCTCAAACTTGGTTCAGAATAAATCTAACCATGATTTCTTTAAGTTCTAGTGTCTGTTTTTTTGTTTGGGGGGGGGTTGTTTTTTTAGAGACAGGGTCTTGCTCTGTCTCCCAGGCTAGAGTGCAGTGGTGTCATCACAGCTCACTGCAGCCTCGAACTCCTGGGCTCAAGTGATCCTCCTGCCTCAGCCTCCCGAGTAGCTGGGACTACAGGCACGTGCCACCATGCCCAGACTGTCTTTGTTCTACATCTAATAAACGGATGTATAGCCAGTACCTGTCCATGCAATATTAACAAATTCAAATTCACAGGCAGGAGGTCAGCTTCAGTTTATAGGCCTCAGTTTTATTATTACCCATGTGCCTGACTGTAGCCATCGTGGGCCACTGTTAAAATTCTCTTTTGGATTTTCCTTTTCTTGACACTTCCCAGGTAGGGTTGGTGTACGCTCTCTCATTGCACTTACCACACTGCGTTTTTCTGATGTCTCCTGTTCCTACCCTCCCCTAGCAGGTGAGCTCTTTAAGGGCAGGGCTGTGTCTGGTGCACCCTTTCCCCTGTCTCTCCCAGCAGCCTTACTGGGGCATGCTGTCTGGCAGAGACACCTTCTGAGCTGAGGCAGTGGGGCCGTCCTAACCAGTCCTCAGAGATGAAGAGTCCCTCCTTCCCCTTCACACTGTCGTCTGGCTTCGCTGGGCTCAGCTTCCCTTGGCTTTTCCTGTGTGTTTCTCAGGTGTCCAGGAATCCCATGGGAAGTGAGGGCTGCTCTGGTCTTCTCAAGTCTGTGCGGGACAATCCAGCACCTGCTCTGGAGCTGCTGGCTTTCTCCGGAAGACCTTTTCATAGACCTCATCTCTGAGCCTCCCAGCATCCCTGTGAGGTGTCATTATCTCCATTTTAGAGGAAGAAAGTAGGGGCCAGAGAAATGAAGTGCCCTGTCCAGAGCCACCCTGAGGCAGAGGCAGAGCACCAGCCCAGGTCTGGAGGCCGCTCCAACTCTGTTCCCTCTGGGCTGGTGGTCTGCGCGCTCTCACCTTGGGCCCCTGTCTGGGCTCTTCATTGTCTGAGAACAGGCAGGGCTCGGGGGCACTATGACTCTGCTCACTGTTGCCTGATGTTTAGATTTGCAGGTTCACCGTGTACAAGGCTGCCCTTCTCTCCTCCCACCCCTGCTGCTGCCTGCAGGGGGCTGTGGCGCTGTAAGATTCGCTAGAGTGGCCGTGAGGGACATTAGGGCCCCTGTTGGTTCAAGTTTGCTGCAAGTTTGCTTTTGTAATATAGGAGAATAAGTCACTATTTTGTAAGGCAACTAATCATTAAAGAGAAAATCCCAAAATAGGAATTATTAAAAGAAAAGTCCAGTTACACATCAGTGCTTATTCTAACCCTAATTTATTTCAACCCAGACTTGGGTCAAAGCCTTTCCAGAAATGTATATTTACAGTTCCAGTCCTTAAGGTTTGGGACAATTGATGTCAAACATCCTTACTAGTTTTTGTTTGGTTTTTGGAGACAGAATCCCACTCTGTCACCATGGCTAGAGTGTGGTGGCATCATCATAGCTAACTGCAACCTTGAACTCCAGGGCTCAAGCAATCCTCCTGCCTCAGCCTCCTGAGTAGCTGGGGCTATGGGCTTGCCCCACCACTCTTGGCTAATTTTTTAATTTTTTGGTAGAGACAGGTTCTTGCTATGTTGCCCATGCTGGTCTCAAACTCCTGGCCTCAAGCCATCCTCCTGCCTTGGCCTCCCCAAGTGCTGAAATTACAGGCATGAACCACTGCACCTGGTCCCCTTCTCTATTTTATTTTATTTTTACTTTCATTTTTTTTTTTGAGACAGAGTCTTGCTTTGTTGCCCAGGCTAAAGTGAGTGCCGTGGCGTCAGCCTAGCTCACAGCAACCTCAATCTCCTGGGCTCAAGCAATCCTGCTGCCTCAGCCTCCCAAGTAGCTGGGACTACAGGCATGTGCCACCATGCCCGGCTAATTTTTCTATATTATATTATTATTATATATATATTATATATATATTATAATATATATAATATATAAAATAATAATATATTATATATATTATAATATATATTAGTTGGCCAATTAATTTCTTTCCATTTATAGTAGAGATGGGGTCTCACTCTTGCTCAGGCTGGTTTCGAACTCCTGACCTCGAGCAATCCGCCCGCCTCAGCCTCCCAGAGTGCTAGGATTACAGACATGAGCCACAGTGCCCGGCCCCCTTCTCTATTTTAATAGTTTGGAGAGTTTGTGACTGTCATCCACAAAAGAGAAGCCACCTGAAGGATCTTCTTTGAGACATTGTATATGTAAGTAAAAATAGTCAAGTTCTCAGAACGTAGTAACATACTGCCTTGTAATGGATTTCTCCCCAGCATACCCAGGTGAACACGGAGTTTGATGACCTTGCTAGCTCAGTGAAGGTAGTTCTTCCTGGGCTTTGCATAAAGACTGGTGCTCGCAGAGCGGAGTATAAAAAAGAGTTGCTGCCAGTCTTCAGACTGTCCCTACCAGTGCCTGCCCCTAAATGACTTTGGACTGTAGCTTCCTCCCCTCCAGCCAGCCACTACAATCTCTACATCTAGTGCTCTTCAACTCACAATGCCTTGTGACCACTCATGTCTGCGCGAGCCCCTCCATCAGACGGGTGCTGAGTCCTCTAGAGCTGGTCTTCATGATGACTCAGACACCTGTTCTTCCTCTCTGCCCTTCTGCTCCTCTGCCCCTCTGCCCCTCTGCCCCTCTGCCTCTGGACTAATCTGGGCCTTTATTTGCTCTCATTTATGTAACAAAACCTTACTATGTGCTGCACGTTGAGCTAGGCATGGGGTCAGAGATACCCAGACAAGTCCCTGCCCTCCAGATGTTCATGTTCTGTTGACCTCGGGAAACTATTAAAATTTCAAGAAGTGCACAACTGGCATTCCTAAACTCTGCTCATGAGAATGAAAACTGATACAATCTATTTGAAAGGCATTTTATCATTATGCACCAAAAGTCATAAAACTGTGTATGTCCTTTGATCCAATCATTCCACTAATCTGCTCTGCAAAAATAACCAGAGATGCATAAGAAGACTGATGTTCATTGAAATACTGTTTATAATAATGAAAATTGGAAGTATTTCAAATAACAAGGGATCAGTTACATAAGATTTGGAACTCTGCAAATATTAAAAGCCGCATACTCAAAGAACATTTAACCATTCATGAAAATACACATGATTAATGTTAAGTGAGTAGATCAGGATCCAAAAACCACATGGATTTTTTGGCACTTCCTCAAAATTAATCATAGAATTACCATATGACCCAGCAATTCCACTCAAGAGAAATAAGAAATATATGTCCACATAAAAACTTGTACATGCATGTTCCTAGCAGCATCATTCATAATATCCAGAAAGTGGAAATGGCTACCAATGGATAAACACAATGTAGTATGATCCATATAATGGACTATTATTAAGCAATAAAAAGGAATGAAATTTGAGGTTATAAAAATGTTCTAGTTGGTCCCAGTACATCCACTTTATAGCTGCTGGCAATATGGAAGGTTCTTTTTCTGTTTGTGTAAAGTCTAATTTCTATCAAGGTGTCATGGATTTTTTTGGGGGGAGAGAGTATAATTAACAATAATTTATTGTATATTATCAAATGGCTAGAAGGCAGATCTGAATGTTCTCAACACAAAGAAATGATAAATGTTTTAGGCAACGTGTATGCTAATTACCCTGATTTGATCACCACACATAGTATACATGTATCAAAATATCACACTGTACCCTGTAAATATGTACAACTATTACATGCAAAAACAATAATAAAAGAAAAAAACAGAAAGTAGATGAGTGGTGTCTATGATTGGGAAGGAAGGAGGGAGATGGAGAGTGATGAAAATGTTCTAAACTTAAAAGACTCTAGTGATGGTTGTACAACTGTGAGTATACCAAAACCACCAAATTGGTATACTGACTTTGCTGGACATTTTTTTAACTTTAAAAATTTTTTTTTTATTTTAGCGTATTATGGGGGGTACAAGTGTTAAGGTTACGTATATTGCCCATGCTCCCCCTCCCACCTTGAGTCAGAGCCTCAAGCGTGACCATCCCCCAAACGTTGCATATCTCACTCATTGTGTTTATATATACCCATCCCCTCCTCTCCCCTCCCAGCTGCCTGGGTGTCATGGAGTTTTTTGGGTTTTTTTGAGACAGAGTCTCACTTTGTTGCCCAGGCTAGAGTGAGTGCCGTGGCGTCAGCCTAGCTCACAGCAACCTCAAACTCCTGGGCTCAAGCAATCCTCCTGCCTCAGCCTCCCGAGTAGCTGGGACTACAGGCATGCGCCACCATGCCCGGCTAATTTTTTGTATATATATTTTTAGTTGGCCAATTAATTTCTTTCCATTTATAGTAGAGACGGGGTCTTGCTCTTGCTCAGGCTGGTTTCGAACTCCTGACCTCGAGCAATCTGCCCGCCTCGGCCTCCCAGAGTGCTGGGATTACAGGCGTGAGCCACCGCGCCCGGCCTTGTCATGAAGTTTTAAAATTGGTTTTTCATTACAAGTGTCTCACTGTTGGTTAACAATTAACTTTTTCCGTGACCATTATTGATCAAGCAAATAAATTCAACAGCCATTTGGGAAAAACAAAAGGTTCTAAAATTGATTGTGGTGGTGGTTGTACAATTCTGTGAATATGCTAAAATAAATTGAATGGTATAATTTAAATGGGTGAATTGTATCATATGTGTATTATAACTCAATGAAACTGTTTTAAAAGAAGGAAAAGTACTGATATATGCTACATGGATGAAATTTGAAAACATTATGCTACATCAAAGAAACCAGTCACAAGACCACATACTGTGTCATTACATGTATATGAAATGTCCAGAATAGGCAAATCTGCAGAGACCAGAAGTAGATTGTAGGTTGCCCAGGGCTAGGGAAGATAGGGAGATTAGGAGTTGACAACTAATGGATATGGGTTTCTTTGGAGAATGACAAAAATGTTCATTCCTGGTGGTCTAGTGGTTAGGGGAAAATAGTATTCTAAAATTAATTGTGGTGTTCTGCAACTCTGTGCGGTATATGACTTATATCTCAAGAAAGCTGTTAAAAAATCATACTGTTTGATCCCAATTATATAAAAATAGTATGAATGTATGCACACAGGGAAAAAAAGACCAAAAAAGTCCTACTGAAATATTAATATTTATCCCTAGGTTGTGGGTTTATGGATGATTTTTATTTTCTTTAGATTTTCCTGCATTGTCTACACTTTCTACTGGGAATATGTCACTTTTATGATATAATCAGAAAAATAAATATTACAGTCATATACCGTATAATGATGTTTTGGTCAATCATGGACTGAATAGCCAATAGTGGTCCCATAAAATTACAATAGCATATTTGTACTGTATCTTTCTATGTTTAGATACACAAACACAATTGTGCTACAGTTTCCTACAGTATTAAGTACAGTAACATGCTGTACAGGTCTGTAGCCTAGGAGAGACTGGCTAAGCCATACGGCCTAGGTGTGTGGCAGGCTGTGCCATCTAGGTTTGTGCAGATACACTGTGCGGTGTTCGTATGATGAGATCTGCTAATGACACATTTCTCAGAACATATTCCAGTTGCTAAGCAGATACACAACTGTATTTAAACCATGATGCGACACAGGCTACAGTTCAGTTATGTGCATGATGTGGTTGGAGCCCTGAGGAAGGAGGTGCTATGGGCTGAATTGTGTCCCCCATCCCCAAAATTACATGTTGATGCTCTAACTCCCAATGTGACTGTATTTGAGGATAGGGCCTATAGAATATAATTAAGGTTAAACGAGGTCACAAGGATAAGGCCCTGATCCAATAGGATTAGTGTCCTTATAAGAGAGCAGAGAGCTTGTGTGTGAGCACATGGTGAGAGGCGGCTGTGTGCCAGCCAGAAACAGAGTCCTCAGGGACTTTTAACCTCCAGAACTGTGAGAAAATAAGTTTCTGTTGTTTACCGCCCTGTCTGTGGTATTTTGTTATGGCAGCCCCTGGAGCTGACTAATACAGGATTCACTTTCTTGGCAAGAAGAGTCAGGGAGGGCAGTGGCCTCCTCCTGGTTTCCCTGGCTTTCCGAAGATCTCCCTGCCTGGCCCTCCTCCTTGTGCCAAAGCCTTCCTTCTTAGGGCACACCTGACAGCACTGTTCAGAGCCCTCCCATCCCTAAGCCGACAGAAAAATCCTAGATCTGGTGCATTGTCCCATCACACTGGGTGAGCTCCCTCTCTCTTCTTTACTCTCTAAGGAGGGAAAGTTAAAGAGTCTTCTCCATCACTCTCTAGGACAGGTGTCTTCAAACTACGGCCCATGGGTCACATGCGGCCTGCTGAGGACATTTATCTGGCCCGCCGGGCTGCCACTGCCTGTCCTGCTTAGCAGCCAACTCATGTTGGGCCCACAATGCGCATGTGTGGAATGTGAGCCGCACTCTCCAATGGCCCTCCAATGGTCTGAGGGACAATGAACTGGCCCCCTGTTTAAAAAGTTTGAGGACCCCTGGTCTAGGAAGACACCAGAATGGGGTGCTGTGTTCTGGCGATGAGCTGAGTGTATGCCTGGATTACTTTCCCAAGCTTATTCCAGATATGAATACACGCTGGATCCCAAGGAAAGTTAAGATTATGTTTAAGTATGGAGGAATCAGGTGATTGTTCCAAAGTCCTCCAAAATGGGCACTGGATCCCAACTCAGCTCTTCTGGGGAAAGGATGTGTCCTCCTCCTCCCTGGTGGCAGGAAACCCACTCCTTCTCACTAAAGAGAGAAAAGAAAAATAGCTCACAGCAGGCTGAGAGAGCTATATGAGGTATGCAAAATGTATCAGGCCCAGAGAGACAAGAATATGGTACTAGGTCTCAAGCCCACTCCCAACCCATGCCCAAGAGCAATTGTTTAAAGGTATTTTGTTCCTGACTAGCCAATCCACTCATTATCTTCTTGTTTCTGAAATTTGGGATACAAAGAACAATGTATAGCCAATCAATAGCTTATGCTATTTTGGTGTAAATTCTTGGTAAACAATTTAGGAACTGCCTCTTCTTTTCCTTTAAAAACCTACTTGTTAGGTTTTTCCTTTTCCTTTAAAAACCCATCTCTACAAAATATAAGAAAATTAGCAGGGCACGCGCTGTAGTCCCAGCTACTTGGGAGGAGGCTGAGGCAGGAGGATTGCTTGAGCTCAGGAGTTTGAGGATACAGTGAGCTATGATGTGGAACTGCACTTTAGCCTGGGTGACAGAGCAAGACCTCGTCTCTAAAAAACATAATGATAATAAAATATTTTTTAAAACACACACAACCATACTTGTAGCCAGGCAGAGTGGCTGTTGCATGTAGTCCCAGCTACTCAGGAGGCTGAGGTGGAAGGACTCTAGAGGCCTGGGCGACAGAGCAAGACCCTGTCTCTAAAAAAAATAAAAACAAAAATAAAAAATAAATGTACTTGTAACTGCTGCTAATCCATGTGTATATTCAGGGCAACTTTACGCTCCTCGGTGCAGTCCTCAAACTTGGCCCAAATAAACTCTCTAGTTGTATTAATTTTGCCTCAGCTTCTTCCTTTTATGTTGGCAGAAGTGATCAAATCCTGCCCTCTTCCCGGGTGCTGGGTGGGAATGGCTTTTCTGCACC